ACAAAAGAGGCAGCAACATCAACATTCAATCCAGTTCCTCTATTGAAAAGTATTTTTCCAATGTCCTAACACCCTCGATCTCCCTCTATAAAGATGCGGTTGTGCAACTACCCCACTTGGCGCTGCACGTGTCTCGCAGTTGATTGCTCTTCGGCCGTTTGCTCCCGAACCGGTATTGCCGGTCTCAACCGGTTTTCACTTTGTGAGCGGTTTTCGAACGGGTTGCTCATGCAAATACTCGTTTGTGATATGTCTTCAGTTGAGGTGATAAATGTGTAGAATTTTTTTAGTTCTTATAGGTACATTAGCAATTAAAGGTAAGGTACTTGAAGCTCTACAATAGGCTAGAGTACAAAATTTCAATTATTTGTCCGTCAAACAGATATTAGAAAATATTACTCATATTTTTTATTTTCTTTCATAATTAAATAATAACAACTGTAATTATTCAATTATGAAAAAAAAAATATGTCTCCAAATTTTTTTAATTAACTGTCTGACGGACTAAATAGAATTTCGATTTCATTACCCAGTCATCATCCCTATTGAGGTAGATTTTGGAAATTACCTATATAAATTGACGCGTTTTCTTATTACATTTTGTATTAGCCTTCTCTATTTACCCACCAAATCTAAGATCGTATCATAATAGCGTTTAAAGATTTTTCAGAAGTATTCTCCATAAGTAGTCCCGAGCAAAAACAAAATCTTTTTTCAGCATTTTAAAACTACTGGGTTCTCTGCCAGCCACGAACAAATAAAACTATTTAGTTCCAAACTCAGTGCCGTTATAGGAATACCCAAGTTTCTTGGGAGTGTCTTCGAGAGTCCGGAACTGGCATATTTTGCATTAAGCCGTCCGCCTTTATTTGCCAGGCTGGTCCTTCGCAAGTGTTGTAACGACACTTTTATTTTGTTGTAGGACTTTATGGACCTTACTCAGTATAATAACAATAGGGATATAGTGTTGTGCCAGTAGACAATGGAAACTTCTTATTGCTTTCGATTAGATAGAAACTTTTAGGAAAACTTTTATAGAAGGTTAGATGCATGCAAGAGTTTCCCGTTGTGGTTAAAAAAAGTGGCATACATCCACGTTTGTAATGTTTTGTCAAGCCAACTACTGAAGCATCTCATGTTGTTTTAATAACGATTTTGCAAAAAAAATGTCTGAAGTGGGACTGTCTGTATCTAAGTTAGGGACATAACCAAGTCTGTTATACAATTTACATTGTCTAGGGCCTTTATTTATTTTGTTCGGGATTGCCTCAGCAGGAACGAGCCTGTTTTTCATTACCGTCCCGCCTTTATTTACAAATCAGTATTGCTTTTCTTCTTCGAGTGTAGCCAAGGCGACATTTTTTATTTTGCAAATAGTTTCTGCATTGTTTTATTGAAAACTAGCTGACCCGGTGAACTTTGTTCCGCCTTAATGGCAATAAATAACGGGATAAAAAGTATCCTATGTCCTTCTCCTGGCTCTAAACTACCTCCCTGACAATTTTCAGCTAAATCGGTTCAGCCGTTCTTGAGTTATAAGTGGAGTAACTAACACGACTTTCTTTTATATAATAGATAAGATTCTGCGGATATTTAAATACGACACGCAAATGCAAAAGGCTCAGTCTTATCCAGAGTGAGATAAAAACTTTGGAATTTAATTTAAAAATGTAAAATAATAAACGAAAATGTATTATTAGCCTCAACTTCATTATTGTTTATTTCCGATAATAGCATCAGTTAAGAGAAACAGGAAAGATTTAAGAGATTAGAACAAAAATAAATAACAGTTAAGACGAAGTTTGTAATACCTACCCACGCGCACGCCACTGTTTTTAATCACCGAGGGAATTTTAATAGGATTATTGATATCCAAAAGGAACCATCTTTCCAAGAAATCGTGGATCATCTAATATTGTATTCCGTGAATTTATTATTATTAGGGGCCATCCATAAAGTACGTCACACGAATTTAATGATTTTTTGACCCCCCCTCCGTCCTTGACACAGGTGGTCACATTTTTGAGACCCCCCCCCCCCCCTCCCTAGTGTGACGTCACATGCGTTTGCAATTTCACATCGAAAAATTATTAAATTAAGCGCAGTTCCGAAATTAGTTTCATTTCCATTTAAATTAAGTACTTTTTTATGAAATCAACATTATATCAAATATTTGAAACAATTGAAATGTGATGTCACGAAACTTAGGACCCCTCCCACCCCTTGTCACACCATGTCACACTTTGTCGACCCCCTCCCCCCCTCTTTACCCCCCCCCTCCCTAGTGTGACGTCACATGCGTTTGCAATTTCACATCGAAAAATTATTAAATTAAGCGCAGTTCCGAAATTAGTTTCATTTCCATTTAAATTAAGTACTTTTTTATGAAATCAACATTATATCAAATATTTGAAACAATTGAAATGTGATGTCACGAAACTTAGGACCCCTCCCACCCCTTGTCACACCATGTCACACTTTGTCGACCCCCTCCCCCCCTCTTTACGTGTGACGTACTTTATGGATGACCCCTTAGTAATCACCAAGCTCTACTTGCACTTTCATTATCGTTTCTAATTAGACACCGAACTTATAATGTTAAGTGATTCGACATAGTAATATGGAAGGAAGTCCCTTTAACCGGAGCGCGCTCACGCAGCGCAGCCCTCCGCCCACGCCCTCGCAGCGCGCGCCCCCCGCCGCCCCCGCCGCCCCCGNAGTCAACTTCATCAAATCGTTTTTCCATCCGTTAATAGCCCTAGAAAATATCCTCAACTATGCCCAAAAAAAATCTTAGCCTTTTATTTTACTGTTTAGTACCTCAAAAATGAAAAATGAAAACCTCATTTTCGCCATTTTCTCTGATACCCGGCCTTAAGGTACGAATTCGAATGCAGCACGCAGAAGCAGCAGACATGTCGCTGTAATACACGTTTTTCGGAGTAACCCTGCTGGAGTGTGTGAGCTGCTGTTAAAAGAAACCTACTGTGTTGAGACTTAGGCACAAATTCGAATGCAGAACACAGAAGCAGGCTACATGTTTTTCTACGAAATACTCTTACCTAGCTACACGCGTCTGAAAGTTACTAAGAAGCTATAGGTAACTATAATTAATTTGTGACGCGCCCCGCGACGCATCGACAGCCCTAACACCGAGCACGGAGATTTTGACAACCCTACGGCTGCGCGGCCGCACGCCGCACGGACCGAGCTAATATATGAGACGGCGGCGACCGCGTGCGCCTAGCATTCGCTCGGGAGCCATTGCAACAACCAGACGTTCGCGCGCGCGTCTATTGTTCCCTCGGTTGCATTGCACAGAGTCCCTAGCGAATTGCTACCCACACTGTTCCCACTAACTTGGCTTGACTCGATACCTCGTTTACCTCCGCGGAGCCATAAAGCTTCGTGTTGCTGTTGAAACGTTCTATCGTTGATAGCTGCCTATTCTCACCCTTACCGAGTAGTGCATGTGATACTCATCCCGAACCTGCGGTAGCAATCCTGCTGCCACCCATCCCAAACTTCATACCCCCTCGCCACGTAGGTCCGACGCCTTTCCCCTGGTGGTTTCAGCTCGCCTGACGACTTAGGTCTCATGGTTCTAGCGTATGAAATCACGTCCTACCCCCCTAGTTATAAGTATCCACTAACACTCGCTAAACCTCGCACAGGGCGCCGCCCCTCTCGCGGATACGTTAACTAGTTTCGGGACGCGGACCGGGCGCGTCGCTATTCCTCTCATTGCCATTAATTTATAATTGTAAAGTACTTGCTCGTAGTAATAATAAACTTAGAGTCAGTGAAGTTAGAATAAGGAACCATTGTGGAACTAGAAATACAAAGTGTCATTGTGTTATAGATTGTGCGTTTCCTTGGCCAATATCCCTGTAGGCATCCTGGATAGGTACACATCCCTCATCGCAGAAGGCGAACTGGGACTTAGTACTAAACAGCGGGGTGTCAGACTGAGCTAGCTAAGACGCCCCGTTGCAATGGCGCCCAACTAAATAACCCACGGAACCTACAGGGACCACCAGATCGCTAGAGAAGCGAAAGACCACAAGGAACGCAAAACTTCGCATCAAATTGAAAATTACACATGTCAGAACCGACATCTTGGATATATAAACTGAAGAAGACAGAACTTGAGAACGAGTGCAAAAGTAGAAACATAAAAACGGAGAACAGAACCGTACAAGAACTGAGACAGAACCTCACAGAAGTACTCAGAACCAAGCAATCCCGTCAACCAATCCAGTCCGCCAATAAATCCGCCGAAGACAGTGAGTCAGAAACCGATTTCGAAGACACAGAGATGCACCAAGAACCAAACATGTCGTACACCATAGATCAGACTGAAAGCATAACGGCAAGATGGAACATAAGTTTTGACACATGCAACGACTCAGTGGAGTTTTTAGAGCAACTGGACGAACTAATGTCATCGGGCGAGGTCAAGCCAGATAAAGTGCTCAAAGTGCTACCCAGATTCCTGAAAGGAAAGGCCGTACTGTGGTATAGAAATAATAAAAACTCGTTCACTACATGGAACGAATTCATAGAACTCTTCACGTTGACATTTGTGAGCCGTGACAGTGACCTGTTAGCTAAAATAGTGAACTATAGGCAACATTACAAGCATTCGCTAGGGACTCTGTGCAATGCAACCGAGGGAACAATAGACGCGCGCGCGAACGTCTGGTTGTTGCAATGGCTCCCGAGCGAATGCTAGGCGCCCGCGGTCGCCGCCGTCTCATATATTAGCTCGGTCCGTGCGGCGTGCGGCCGCGCAGCCGTAGGGTTGTCAAAATCTCCGTGCTCGGTGCTAGGGCTGTCGATGCGTCGCGGGGCGCGTCACAAATTCATTAGAAACATTACCAATGATAAGATATTTCCAATTCGTTTTGAATAGTTTCCACTGAATGATACAATAAGTTTGGCTATAAATGAAACACAAGAAAACGCTCTATTCATTGCAATATTAACTATGTATTCAGCTATGTAGTTTCAACACTCCGTGGGCCATTCTGAATAGTTTTCGATGACAATATTTTCTCAAGCATATCATTAACTTTCTGTTGCGTCTTCAAGAAGTTTTTGAAATGTGTGTCGTCGAATCTGGGGTCCTTCATATTTAGGGGCTGCTGCTGTCTGGAAGCCACGGATAGTTTGTCACGGCAATTTTTGCCTTCACTTCTAGAATCACCCTGCCAATCGTCAACTCTTTCTAATTTCTCGTGGAAGCGTGTAGGATCCCGGTGACGAGGACTAAGAAGTCCATAGCTGACATTATCAAGATATTTTTTATCATTGCCATAATCTTTTGCGTTTTCATTTAATTTCATGTTTATGACATCATCGTATGGCGATTTATATGGCATTCTGTGATTGTTCTCGCGATTGCTATATTTTGTGCCTTCATAATATCTGTCATCTGATGGTTTTGTTTCATATTTGAATACAGTGGGTCTACTATCTTTCTGAGATGTTCGCTCGGTTTGTGTTGCGTCGTCTTTGGGAGGAATTTTGAAATCTTGTGTTCTGCCGCTCTTGTAAAGTCGTTGGTCTGAAGACTTGGTATCATCTTTATATGGATACTTAAATTCTCGTGATCTTTCATCTCGGTAACGGGCTTGATCCAACGTTCTTGTTACTTCGTCTCTAAATTTCTTATCAAATTCACGTAATCTGCTCTCTTTATTCGGCCATCGATCTTTTGGCTTTCCTTCTTTGTACCTTTCGTGTGTCGGGGGATTTGAATAATTTTTGTGTCTTTCTTTACTTTTTGTCCAATCTTTGTGTTCGTATTGATCCACCCATTTGTCTATGTGGTGCTTGCGTGTCACTAAAGGATGTGCGGTGGTCACAACTATATTCTGATGTATAATTTTTAGAGGTTTTTCTATAGGAATCCCCAGAGGCGCAATTTCATCAGAGTTTGTTTGTATTGTTATTGGTTTGGCTCGCATTACCTGAAAAGTTTGAGGCGTAATAGCCAAAGAATTTTGGACAAATTTAGCTCTTTGGATTTGTATGTTTTGAACTCTGGGTCTTTGTATACCGAATGGGTTAAACAAACCAGGTGTAATTTCCGGTGGTTTTAGTCTATATGGGTCGATCGCCACTTTAGGGGGAATTCGATGTATAAAATTAAATGGATTTCTAGGTTTCTGACGTGTCACATTTGCTAGTAACGTGTTAATATTTGATGGTACTTCTATTCTCTCATTTATTGTTTTGAACTGTTCAAAGAGTTCCATGAATTTTGTTATCACCTGATTTGCTTCTTGAGTCTTGTTGTTCTGGGGTGGAATTTTACTTGTAGTTTCTGGAAAGAGTTACGATTATGACATTAAACTCTTTGCTTTTTATTGCTTTTAAAATATATAAAAAAACGTGTTTTAAATGATTTTGACTATACATACCTGTCGTTAGCTTGGTTGTACTGGATATTTTTGGAGATGTTGGCGCCGAAATAACTGTTGTAGGTCCAACAGATACTCTAGAGGGCGTGGATGTTATTTCTTGTCGTAGATCTTTTAAAACTATAGCTTTAACATTCTCAGCTATTTCTTTAATATCATCCTTTGTTATAATCTTGACACTATCATTTCTTCTCATATTATTGTCATTTACTGTAACTCTTGCACTAGGAGTATGTGTAGGCTCAGACGTATCTTTATATCTTTCTGTTAATTGATACTTTTGTGCAATATCTCTAGGTAAATGTTGCCTATTTCGGGTGGGAAAAGTAGCGATATTTTTTGGAAAATCAATTGGAAGTAGGCGACTGTTAGTTTCTTTTATATCATTGTTTTCTATCCTTCTCTCTCGGTTGTCATATTGTTTGATTCTTTCATCTAAAATTCTAGATTTAATTGGTATTCCATTTTTGACAAAATAATAACCATCTGGCTGAAGGTCGTTGATGATTTCAACTTCACTTTCTGGAAAATTGTTGCTGTTGCCGAGCGTTCCACGTTGAGGGTATAGCTGCAATAACTTTTCTATTTGATCGGAAAGCTTTTTCAAGTCAACTGAGGATGTTGTAGGTTTTTCCGTGGTTGGTTTTGCGCTTCTATTAATTATATCTTCTAGTAATTTATCAATGTATTCGGCTTGTTTGGACATACCTGTTTTTCTGTCTTTTTTCATAAACTTTTGTTCAGGGATATCTCTATCAAAAACTGGGCTAGAATTCGATTTTGGTTTCGTAATTTTGGTTTCAATATAATTGTCAGGAGAATTTGTAGTAAACATTTTCCAAAAATTTATAATGTTCGCAAGTTTAGGACTTTGTTTAATATCAAACTTTTCACTTTTTTCTATTTCCAATGGAACATTTAATAAGTCCGTGTTTCTATTCTGAATATTCTCCACGTTTTGCACTTTTGGCTCATATTTCACTTCGTTGATGTTTAAAAATGATTTGTTTTCAATAGCTTTAATAGTTTGGATATCCACAAGATCGGTCAAAATCATTGCACTTTTTATAAGTTTGTTTACTTCTTTTTCTTCTGAGAAAAAAAGAATAATGTTTAAAGTTATTTAACAACTAAACTAATAACTGGCTTAAATAAAACAATTGATAAGAAGTAAAAATAATGCTTAACTTACTGTCCAACTTAACTGTAGTTGTTTTGTTTTTCACTTCATCATCCTTAGTATTAACTTTTCTCGTACCATTATCTTTATTAGATTGAAAGTCAAGACACTGTCGTTTCAAGCTTCTGCAGAAAAATTAACAAACGCATTAAACATTGCCCTTGCTAATCTAATAATGCAACAATATGTAGTTTTTTACGACAATAATGTACTCAGTGAGATTTCCAACAATAAAGGCTGCACTGGAATTTAATATTCAAAGATGTTGTGATGTATATTTCGCTTCAAAATTGCACTGATTACTGTGTCAAATCCCACACACTCTTCTAATGAAACGTGTCGTACGTTTAACTAGTAGCTAACTAGCTATAGAATTATGGGAAAGATAAGAAACCAAACGTACTCACTCGCGGTCCATATCATCGATGTTTACATTGTGGCGCTGCAACTTCCTCAGCATGTTTACGTCCAAGTCCTCCCTTTGCATTCCGCTCAGCCACAGAACGCATATCAGATCTGAAAATGTTGCAAATTATCACGAATATCCAGGGCTTAATCACTGAAATATACACTTTTGTCGCGCATTATTGGCCTGTTTAGAAAACTGATTACGTAAAAACGGATTTTGATCTGAACGGTTTGGAGGGTGATTCTAAAGTCAAAAGCTGATGACGAATCCTACTCAAAGGTAAAAAGGAGTTTTGCCTTGGACACAAATCCAGAGTTTTGGAGTGTCTTGCAGCGGGACGTATAACGCTTATATTATATTAAAGGAACCTTTTATCTGGACTTTGCGCGGTGAGCCCTGACCGATAACTGCAGGAGGGAACGTACATGAGATGGCGACCGCCGTGAGCACAGCCCGACACAACATGTCGGCTCGATATCGCCGGCGACGCCGCCGGCCTGATTGTTTTGCACTTTGCATGCGCATACGCCGTTTGCTTTTTTTTGTCACGCGAGCGCTTGTAGATTCTCCCTGTCAAATTCTGAATCTACGTCACGTTATATTAATTTATGGAATAAACAAGAAAACTAAAAGTTTAAAATTTCTGTTTAGTACAAAAGGTTTCGAGATCTAAAAAACGCCAAACCTAAAACATCAAAATATCATTTTCTGAAATGCAATTTAAAATAATACTGGCCATAAAAATTAGCATTTATTTGCTTATAAATAAACAGTCAGAATTCGTCACGTCATGACTTCATAGGCCTTACAACTGTAGGAAAGTATCCAATCCTAGGATGTTCAATACCCCATTTCTGTAACTAATTTGTTATACTTTCATTCCAGGCCCGTTTCTTGCTGTCCAAGGTGAACCCGTCGCAGACTCACAACAACATGTACGCCTATGGAGGGGTCAGTATACTGTCATTTATACAACTGATAATAAATCATTCATACTTGATGTGACACCAGCTAGTGCGCTTTTGTAGAGCGCTAACTAATGTAACAATTTGTGCATGTAGTCTTTCATTTTTATTCAGTTTTATGGCCGATTTTTAATCGCTGGATACTTTTACCTGAAGAGTTAAACGTTTTGTCAAAATTCGTTTATAAAAAATCTGAATATTGTAATAAATGAATAAATAAATAAATATGTAAAAGTTACCTGAAGATTAGAATCGGACGTTAATTTATTCTACGAAGTTGTGCAGCTATGAAGTTTTTTGATAGAAAGTTTTTTGATTTATCTTTTTAAGTTTCTGATTGTATTTGGCATGAACTGATTAGGATTTTAAAGTTTCGAGTGAATGTTCGATGCATGTTTAATTTTCCCTTTTTTGATGACCGATGACAGCATGGTTTGACCTGTTTTCTTTTGTTTCATCATTGTTTCGGCGATTGCAGGCGATGCCGATCCCATCAGCGGTAGTGTTTTTTATTTTTTTATTCAAAATTGGGTTTTGTGGTTTCTAACATTGTCTACTAATTTTCAATGTTTCCATTACTTTTAAATTAAGATAAGAACACAGCTTTATATTGCTATATATTTTTAAATTACACTTAAAAAACGAAAATTAATGAAGCTTAAATATTTTTATCAAGGGTTTAAATTAATATTTTTAAAAAGGGTTTAATTTGTAAAAATGCTATATTTTTACCAAAAGGGAAGAAAATTGTAAAGTCATTATATTTATGTATATTTGTATTGCAATAATATTTATTTATAAAAAAAATAAGGGGATAAAGCGGTTATATTTTATTTGTATGTACTTTGTGTTCGTAAGTTTGTCTTTGACATAAGGACGCTTATATTCAAATCTTGACGGCTGCTCAAGTTTTAAGCGTCCTTTGTTCACTGAAAAATATTTTTTTCGAACTTGTTTCCTAATTTGTTACTCAGCATCTATTGTAATCGCTTTCAGTTTATCATAAACTGTACTAGAGACAGCGGCACATCAAGCTGCACATTGTGACATCTTAATGTAGTTGTAATAAGCGCTATTTTGCGACTAAATAGTCTGACATCTATTTAGTTTGTATAACAGTCGACAAGTACATCAGACTTAAATTTTTCGTTGCAAAATCGCTCTTATTTGAACTAAATAAGATGCTACAGTTCCTAGGTTTATGCTACCAGTACAAATATTGACAAAGGAAAGTGATCTCAATAGGCGTTGAAATAAGGGCTTTATTAAAACGATATTTCTGTACAGGACGGTGGCGCCCCAGTGCTGACGGATGACGTTTCGCTGCAAGTGTTCATGGAACATCTGAAGAAGTTGGCGGTATCTTCCACCGCGTAAACGACTTTCGCCCTTCAGTACTTGTGTTTAGTTCGACTTTTGTTTAAAATTTTATTCTATACATGTACGATACTTACTCGTCTACAAAACGATTATTTTATATTATCTGTTTGAAATGGATTCAAAATTGACCATGCCAGTCGAATCAACATTTATCCGAGTTGATAAAAATAATTTTAAAAGGAAAGATTTTTTATATCAATGGTGGATTGGCTGACACAGTATCAGGAGTTAGCACAAAATTATAATCTGAATGTTTATAATACTGATTGTGTTATTCCTAAAGCGAGTTTAGATACAAATTAGTAATGTTAGATTATGAATTATTTTTTATCAATAGTCGAACATACATTCGTATTGAGGTCGAGGTCCGTCGTGTCGCTATTTAAGTTATAATGTTATATTTTCTACAAAATATTATGTAAATTAAAATGGCATTAAATTGTTTAATTCTAAACATTGTTTATTCCTAAATGAAACATATTTTTATTATTGTTTTTTAATGTATTACTGTAATTTATAGATCTTAGAATCAAAATTTAAGGATTTGGTCAATTGAAACTCTTGTTTATCTTGTAAAAATATTTATAATTGGTTTAATATAATCTACAAAGTATTACATCAAATAAATACAGCTACACAATATCTAATTACCACAGCTTATCATTTTATTATCTTTGCAATATCTATGTTTTGGTAACAACTCACTAATTTGCTTACTTAATATAATTTCGGAATAATTTATGTCTAGACTCGGTGGCAGATTTAAATAACAACGTATGTAAGCAATACATACAGATATGTATTGAATAAGTACCTATCGCCTCCCATTATGAGTTGGAAAACATAAAAAAAACTAAATAAGTGTAAAACAGGTTATAATTATTATTATTTACTTAAATATGTCGCCGAGCATACATTGACCATGTAGTTAGATCAAGAGAGAGCCTTAATAGTACACAATTATACAAGTATCTATACAAAACAGCACTAAAATCCCTCTAAGTACAAACATACAACCAGATTTAGATAATGAGTGACAAAGTAAACAAATGCTTTAATATTATTTCATATAGTAAGCAGTGAGGACAAACAGTGCTAATTCACTATAGTTTTCTTATCCTCTTACACAAATGTCTTTATCAAAAATCCTCTATTAAAGATGTAAACAACTATAGCATGTTCTGCTTATCCTCTATTGCTACCATAATTAAATGCTAATTTTAGGTACACAACATTTAACATTTTAGCTAATTCAAAAGTTAAACTAAACCCCATTAATCTCTTTAATATTTAACTTAAAAATATACATCAAGTTAGCTAACATCAAAATATTTAATAAGAGAAAATTATAATCCCTAGAACTAATGAATATTGTATAATAGAATTAGAATAGTACACATTAAACAACACTATGCCTTTGCTGTCTGGCCAAAATCTAAGAAATTTTATAAATAAATAAATAAATAGTTATAGAACTTCTGTCCTAGAATACAATACATGTCCCAACATATAAATACAAATCCAACAAGTGTTTTGGGACCAATAGAATAATTTAAAACTAGCACCTGCAGATATTGTAAACATTCATACATATAAAATTCGTTTACACAGATAATTTGTTTTACACAGTGAAGTCACCTCAAATTGAAATGCAGTTACAATATCCACAGGTGCATTTTACACAACATTTATTAGTACAGGGAAAAGTTATTTAGCTAAAGCATACACAAATCATACTAAGTTTTAGTATTAGTCCTTCGAAGCGAACTCATTTCTTAGTGAGAAGCCCATAGACGATGAGAGCGAGCACTATAGTGAGGACATACTTCACGTACACGGTTCATGACTGTGGAGGTCAGTTGAGGAAGCGGATGGACATCTTCTGCTCGACGTCAGTGCGCTCAAGTGCATGGCAGAACTCGTCGAAGCAGATCATCTGGTCGTTGTTGGTGTCCGCTTCCAGGATCGTTCGTTCGGCGATGCTTATCAGTTGATCTTCACTGAGGGAAAAAAAGGTTTGTATTAAGGGTTTGGAAATTAAGGGATTGATGTAAAAGACCTAGTTACGCAATCCTTAGCCTCAAATAAGAATGGTTGGAAAAAGGTTCTTACCTAATATTAGCACCAACCATCATGTGGAGGATGGCTAGCAGTTCATCTCTTGAGATCTTTCCGTCATTGTCCAAATCATACATGGAGAATGCAACTGAAAAAAGACAAATAAGTATTCCATAAACATCAAAAAAAACTAGATATCTTGCAAATTAGTGAAAAATAACTCTGAATAATGAAATTTATAAGTAGAATGTTACCTTCAATAGTAACAAAAACTTTGAAATACTTGAAAATTCCAGCCTACAAATGATATTGTTTTACATTAGCATAAAGTTAGATCTGCTAATTTATTATTATGCCTATTCAGATTTCTTCATATGACTGAGTCCAAAACCTTTCCAGTTTCCATCAAGCTAATTTGTAGTTTTATTTAAAAAACCAGGAAAATCTTGACCACAAAACACAAAATTAGATACTCACATCTCAGTTTCTCCTCCCTACTATTCAATTTGTTTTCCCTGTTCTTCCTGATTGGCCTAAAGTGAGCCAGCACTCTCATGAACTGCAGGAAATTGACACGGTCATCGTGGCTCTCCGCAAAGAAAGAGTGGACGATCCTCTCACTCAACGGATTGATGGCCAGCTCAGGAATCCTCAGGAAGTCATCCCGGGAGAGCGTACCGCAGTCATTCTTGTCCAGGGATGTGAAACGGGAGTATAATCGCTCAATTTGGTTCGGTGTGACTGTGGATAAATGACATTCATTTTATAAATTTATTAAGTATCTTACTAGATTATTAATAGAATAAATTAAAATAATGCATATAAATTACATCATTCAGTAATGATAGAGCAGCTAGTAAAGGACTAAACTACATGTAATTTAGGTGGGCCAAGGTATATTTGTGTGAAATAGAGGCTGAATGATGACATTTTAAGCCTTGAAAATTTTTAAAAACTGTTTTGTCATCATAACCAATCTTAAAATGTATAATGCCTAGGAACTTTACTTTTATTCAAGCATATTTCATCATGCAATAGAGTCTTGAGCTTTAGAGTCATGCTATTACGAAAATAAATACTCACATCCAGTTTCCTCCTGAATTTGAGCTATTTCTTCTTCACGTAACAACAGTGATGATTTGTTACCCATTTTGAAGAGTCACTGCAGTCTTTAACCTTGGTACAAAGATCGCGGCCTTCTGACCACTGTGTGCCCGATAAAGCGCGTGTAGAATCTCCGCATATGCGGAATAAATAGTAATTAGTCACACACAACTACAACACACCTAAATTTTAATAAGGTTATGGCAATATTTAAGTATTAGCGTGTACAACTCCTCTTTTTAAGAGATAAGGAAATACCTAATTTTATACAGCGAAGGTATTGCAATTAATCCGTTTTTATCAATTTATTTCGATTAATTCTGCTTGTTTTGTTTGATAAAAACGGACGATTTATTACGCTGACTGCTGGCTGGCTGACTTCTGTCAATGTCAGTTGGTGGCAGTGTTGCCAACCCAAATTTTAGAAAATTGGTAGATTATGTGCCTATTGTTGGTAGAAGTTGGTAGAATGTAAAATGCAAAATTGGTAGATCTACCACCTCAACTTAGAAAAAAAATTAAGATTAAAAATACATGGTCTGTTCGTAAAATATTAATTAGCGGTTGCATGGCGTGTATTTCTTTTTAATAATGGATATCAAACAATGGGCAGCCTAGTGAAGAACATTTAAAATTATTTAGTAAAAATAAAAATAATAAAAATATTATTTTTATTAAATAATTTTCAAACAATGGGCAGCCTAGTGAAGAACATTTAAAATTATTTAATAAAAATAAAAATAATATTATTTTTATTAAATAATTTTAAATGTTCTTCACTAGGCTGTCCATTGTTTGATATCCATTATTAAAAAGAAATACACGCCACGCAACCGCTAATTAATGCAAGCACCGTTTAAACGGAGTTTTAGAGGAGCAAAGAAAATATTAATTAAAATCACTCTATTTCGCAACATAGCAAGCTTAACACACACACAATCCAAATCCAAACGACACGCAGATCATAACAGATGAGAGAAAAATAAATAATTACCACAGAATTTTTTATAAACTTGGCTTCACACGTTTGGGCCACAGACTAAGTAGTAAGAAGAGAACAGGGTGGCTAANCGAACAAAACTCCGATGAACCAGAACAGCAGCAGGTACGAAGGAATGAACTTGAATTTGACTCGACTCTTCAATACTTTAATAGGGCCACAGAACTCATAAACAATGGCTAAGAAAACAATAATGCATTCAATTCAACCTAACAAAAACAACACCGGCCATTTTGGAGGAAAAACAAAGTTGCCATATGTTAAATAGTAATTTCTACTACTCTATTATGTAAATTATAACAAAAATGTCAATGTTCAGTTTTAAATTAAAACAAATTAATTTCATTTAAAAAAAGTTTTCACATTGTAATTAACAATATTCTCAAATATATTTTAATTAAGAAAAAAATGAAAATATGAAGGAAACAGGAGCAGCGACATCTAGAGCGTTTTAGGGTAGTTAAAAAGTATTTGAATTTATTCACCGATGTCGCTGTTTGGAAGCAAGTTTCACTTCGATGACCGTTGTATGGAAGTTTCTTCACCCTAAATGGTGGTCAGCTGGTTGAGTTTTTCTTAGAAAATAAGGCACTGACAACTAGAACTATACAGATCAAGATGCAAGATGATGAATGATTTCACAAAGTATATTATTTGAAATTGGAAACGGTTTTCTTTACAAAAATGTAAGTAATTGTTTAGAATTGTATTCAAAATCTGGATAAAACTACCTGCAATTACATTTTCATTAAATATTTTTTTCAGAGTGCAGTTTTTCAGTTACCTAGCAACAAGTGAGTGACTGAAAAAACTGTTTCAGTAAATTTTTGTGTCAATCAATTTAATCGACGTGGCGTGTTGTTATTTACCTTCTTACCCTAAAATTTAGTCTTTTTACGTTACGTAGCTAACTATCAAATTGAAACAATGAGCTCTATTCTAAAACCGGTATCTGAAACATTTTCTGAGAAGAAGTCAGGCGAGATCGAGCCATTAGATCCACTTTTAGAAGTAAATGAAAATGTTCCAAGCGAGATCTTTGAGAGGCCATTCCAAGAAGCAGAATATGAGGAAATATCTCCACGTATCTTCGGTTTGAAAGACATCAGCGAACCACTAAGTATACCATCATTGAATAACGCTATTTATGAGCTTGGAGTTGTAAACCTTTGCTGGCCAGAAATCAGTGAACCTGTATTTGAGACACGTACAAGTTTTCCCAAATCTTACTACACGAACAGCACAAAAGAACGCCTTCTTCTTGCCTACGCTGAAAACTTTCGACGTCAGTTTAGTTTTTATTACAAAGACAAACTACGGAAGCCTCTATTACTACAAGTTCCTAATGAATGTGGTTTGCAGGTAGATGCACTTTTCATAAAAGTACTTTCACTACTATTCGCTAGATGGCGTTAGCATACATATTTGTTAATATAATGAAACGTAACTGTAATCCTGTATGGGTTATAATAATTTAAAAACCTTAATATTTTAATACAGAAAATGGTGTGCACTTCAATCAGACCTACGAAACTATGTTACGCTGACACAAATACTTGGCAAGGGATTGCATCGCTGGTTGCTGACTACTTTGATTATGAGCCCCTGACGAAACCAATGCTGCATGTGAGTACTTAGAATAAGTTTTTAATTTTATTAATGACGAAGTATAAGACTATGTAATAAGTACTTTCATCGGTTGTGCTTTTTAAATTTCGCACAGAAAACTTTGACTTATCCACTCATTGATAGATGTCGCTACGGGTAGGGAAATTTACGATATCGTTTCTAAGAAAGCCTAAATGAGTAAGAGTGCCAAAAAAGTCTATAGGTACCATCTCTTTATTAGGAATTTTAAGATTCAATAACCTATTTCTAAGTGGCAGATAATTAATTAATGATACTCTCTATAATTAATGACATCAAACATTGCTAACTCTAATAAGTAGGCTTGTTTGTACAGATTTGTATTTTTTCGTATTCTTCGAAGTCCGAAAAATGTTGTAGGTATTTGGTAGTTACTGAAGGTCTTCTTTACAAGTTACCTTTAAGTAATTCTCTCGTCGTCTCTATTTGTAACTAATTTTTGGAGAAGATTCTCCAATTTCCTTTATTCGCCATGTTTTCCTGGGACTATAAATTAGGGTATAAAAATGAAAGAGGTTTTCCATTTAATGTTCAAAGTTTAATCATTCAACATTTTTCGAGATCACAAAACTGTGTCAAGAGAATCATCTTTTATAATCCAATTTTTAATTTTGTACAAAATATCTTCTCTCGAATAATTTTAAGTAGAGCTAATATAATTAACATGAAATGCAAATCAATAATCCTATCTTCAGTGGAAAGGAGATACAATTTTTGAACTTTAGCAAGTAGATATCAATTAAATTGTGTCTCGGTGCGATGTCGGGCATCGCGTTACCAATGGACAAACTCTTATAACATTATGATAATACGCTCTATTCATTAGGAATGTACTTACAATATTTAATAATCTCTCAATAATTTATAATTTTGATCACAGTGTCCTTAACTGTTAACTTTAACGTATAATACAATTCCGCGTCGAGACATCGAGAATGTCTACAATATATAAAATACTGAGCAATAGAAAACAATTACACAACGAGTGCCTAGCGCTAACGCAATAGAGTCATCTATATCTTAACAATTATTACCTTGTTCGTACTTGGCACAACGAATACGCTCGCATCCTTTCAATATTTGGTATCGCGACTCTCGAGCCCGCCCGCCACGCCAGCGCGGGCGGCTCGTCCACAGCTTGAAAGGACGCCGTGACTTAGTATTAGTTTTGACTTGAGGTAGAACATAGGGATCCGACTATAAACTATACCACGGGTACAACTAGGAATGTAATCGTCAAATGGCAACATACAGCTGTACTACTAAATCTAAACACGTAACAATGTGCAAGAAAGGAAGTCGAGCAGATCAGTAACATTCAATCTTACAGCTTAACATCAAGTTTATAGACTCGGAGAGGGGTCGGCTAACGAAGCGCTGTCGGTCAGCCCAGAAACGGCGCCGGAGTTCACGTACTTACAACTATTAAGTCTTAAAACTAAAGGAAAATAATGCATAGCTTTCCTTTTAGAACAAAGAAATTACGCAAATTTGGCTACACATATCACAAGTGAACGCTTACTGGCGACGACGTAACTATGTACATAATTGAAGTATCCCTGTAGGTCGGTGCTGCGCCTACTTGCGGCGCGAGAGGTCGGCGCCGGCGGCGGGCAGCGCGGCGGAGGGGGCGCGGCGCGCGCGCAGGTTGTGCAGCAGCGCGCGCAGCTGGTGCACGTGCATGCGCGTCACGCTGGGGTCGCCGCTGGCCTCCAGCCACGCCAGGAACTTGTCGCCGTGCTCCAGCGCCTCCGCCGAGCCCGCCTCCCACTCGCCGTGCGTCGCCTCCAGGCTCGTCGTCTCCTTGCTCGCCGTCTGGTTGTTGTTGTTGAACAGCAGGTTGTCGAGCACCGTCCGCGCTTTCGTGTGGCTGCGCGAGTCGTGGCTCTTCTCCGCCGGCGGCTCCTTGTTCTCGGAGCCGAGCTCGGGGCTCGCGGCCGGTTCAGACACCCGTTGTGCGTTGTGTTCCCTGTGCTCGCGCACCTCCTCGTGGTGCTGCGACGTCGGCGTCGTCTGCGCCGGGCTCGTCGCACTCCTCTCCTCGTCGGGTTTTCCTTTGGTCAGATGAGAGTACAGGATATTTTCGGGCGCCTTCTCTTTCGGCACCTGAGCTGCGGACTTCAACTTGTCGTCCGGAAGAGGCATCGCCCCACCGAACTGTTTGTAGTATTGCCACAACCAGGAATTCCTATTGTAATCGAGGTGAGAGTTGATCGGGGCAGCGGGCGCCACCGGTTTCGGCGGTATGCTAGGGTCGGTCTTTCCGAGTTGCAGCGAGTGCGCCGTCGTCGTCTGGGCCGTCAGGTCGAGCATCGCCTGCTGCGTCTTGAGCCAGTACCATAGCGTGTCGTCGACCGGTTGGCTGGCGGCCGACGATGACGTGTGATGATGGCTCGATTTCGACGAACTCCGAGAATACGGATCCGAGTGGTGCGACTTGCTCCGGTGTTTGCTGGTCTCGTTTAAGTTGAGGACTCCATTGTGCGCGGGTTTCGGGGAGCGAACGGAACGAAGGGCGCGGCTCGCGGGCTGCGCCGAAAGCGCGGAGAGGCCGGGGTTGAGCTGGGCGAGGAGCGTCAAGTTGGTGGCGATCTCGTTGAAGCTGAGGCCGAGGTGGGAGTGCGCGAGGCCGGGCAGGTGCGCGAGGCCGGACAGGGGGCTGATGGCGCTCATGGAGACGCTGGCGCCGGGGTCGGGGCGGCGCTCGCGGGCCGCGTGCGCGGGCGGGGAGGGCTCGGCGCGCTTGGTGGTGAGCTCCACGGGCGCGTCGGCGGGCGGCGTGGCGAGCGCGAGGGGCGCGGGCGGGGCGAGGGGTGCGGGCGCGGGCGTGGTGAGGTCGAGGCCGGCTGTTGGCGAGCGCGGCGGCGCGACGGGCGACTCGGTGCGCGCGCGCTTGTCGGGCGGCTCGCCGTCGTTGCTCTTGTCGGTGTCGGGCGAGGATAAGCGTGACGTCATGTAGCGCAGCTTGTCCTCGTTCTTGCACCAGCCGCGCAGCGTGGACTCGGGCACGCCGATGTCGCGCGCGACCGACGCCTTGGACTCGCCGTCGTTGACGCGCTGGATGGCCTCTATCTTGTCGCCGGGCGTCAGGGCGCGCATTGGACGCTTGCCCTTCGTCGCCATTTTGGCTTCGCGCTTTCTGAAACAATAGAGATGCCATTGTTTAAAAATGTCCCTTCTAAGTTCTCATTTGACATTGATATTGATGTGTTTTTGTATTTCTCTAGTTTGTTGTTTGTTTAGTTTTGGGTCTATCTACTTCAATAATCTCAAATCCCCAGAGATTAATCTTTACATAGGTAAAATAACATTGTGATGTTATCTCAAAGTCATAGTTAAGTTCCAAGACGATGCCTTTCCAATTCGTTATGAGTGCCGTTTTTAAATTGTGGTTGAAAGATAAACCTATAACACTATACATAAATGATTTAATTACGTAAGCCGTTATTTACTACGCCTACGTCAAAACGTTACAGCCGGTCACGAATTCCACAAGTAACAGCACCGCTATGCAGTGATGCAACGAACTTAATTATAGCATAAATATCATCCGGATCGTAAGCGAAATGCTTTTGAGGGGTACGATAAAATGGTAGCGTTTACGCGGCAAGCTATAAACTTGCGAAAAGATAAACAAAAAGAAGACATAAAATTATGACCTACGACAACAGTAGGCGGCAAAAGTTGCTGGGGCGTTGACACGGTGACCTTGCAGGCGGCGCGCACTCGGTCACCGGCAGATGGCGCCGCCGGTACCTATAGTTTATGCACCGCACGTATTTTTATTGAGACATTAAAAAGTTTACGGTTTAATTTTATTTTATTTGATTTGCTGCAATTTTTTCAAAACTAGTGGATTTATTATCACGTAGTTTGACAAGTTATTAGGAAAATGATTTGGTAATTAATCTCAATTTCTATTGAAATCCATATACAATGTAAATTAGATAGATATTTTAACTGGTTTATTTTGTAGGTGACTTTATTTTATTCTACATTTCTACGTAATTGTGTATCTAAATAGACATAATTTTGCACGACTTTTAATTTAAAATGTAATTTATTTACGCGGTAGGTTTTAAGTGGTCCGAAACTAACATAATTTAAAAATTATAACACATAACACCACATTAACCGTAAAGCGATTTTTTCATTTAAAATTTAAATGTCTTCATTTTCTATCTTATTTTCTTATCCAAAACCTGAAAAATCTTTAAACTTCAAATAGGCGTAACTTACGATTGTTTTGACGCTAAACAAGAATAATTTTATCAACTTTGAATCGGTAATTTCCATTTTTCAGCCATTAGGTTAACATTTTGTTTAGGCCAGTACAAAACATTACGATTAGACCCCAAAGCGAAAATGAGCTTGTACCTACTTAATGGAATTTATTAGGAAATGCTTAAAATTCTTATTATAATTAATTTATTAGCGAAAAGTTGTGCTTTTCAGAGTTTATTTAATTTTCACTTTTAGGGAAACATCTTAGAGAATCAGGAAACATTCATCTAATTTAAAAATAGTATTCTAGTTGTATTTTTTATGTATAAAATAGTGTTTATGGCACGTAAGTATTATTTATCTACTAGCTAACGAGTATCTGCACTTATATTGGTAACATGATCCAAGAACTAAGTAATGTTACCAAAAAATACAAGCGCACTGTGTAGGTAGAATGATTTATTCGTCGTAGGAAAAGCTCTATCCAAATGAGACAAAATTTTTCAGCTACAATCTGAAAATTCCAAAAGGATTTTTGGAATGATTTTTCGTTTTAAAATCGCGATTCGTGTTTTTGTAATACAAATAAAGAGTTCGACACAAAAGGCACCTAAAGCTACTTTACCGTACCGTAATATTTGAATATTCCATCAAAATCCACCAAAATAAAAATTCACAAACTGAAATTCACTTTGACTGCACAGTACACAACATTGTAACATGAAAACTTTACAACTTACTTGCGAGCCGGCGGCACGTGTGTTGTGTTTACAGTTTTTGACAGCTCAGCCGTTTTGCGAATATAACAAACAGCCGTGAATGGGGAACTCCACCAATAAAAATATAGCACAGATGCGCAATGCGCGACACAAGTTTCAGTTAGTGTTTCACAGAACCGTGGATCACGAGAGTGCCGAGAGCGAGCGGGCGCGAGTTCGTCGCGCTGCGTGCGTCGCGGTCCGCGCGAGGCGACTGTGTGGATGATAAGGCCACCGGGCTCGCGGCCCGCGTCCGCGGCCGGCCGCTCCTTTGTGTCCGTCGGCCCCCGCCCCCGCCCCCCCGCGCGCTATCTCGCCACCTCCGCGACTCGCCTCGTAAACAACCTACCTATCCTCGAACACGATTAATTATGTACTAATTTCACCGACGCATCGCGCAAAGAAAAACCGCGCCGTTTAAACTTTCCTCTCGAGCCCGAAGTTGCCCCAACTTTTATAAGTGCGGAACTTTGTCGTAATATCGTCTCGCGACCGTCTACGAAGTATCCAAATAGTTGCGGACTAATTACATTCGTCTGTCTTTGTTCTTTTTCTGTGGGCGAGAGTTAGGTAAACAGAAGCTTTTTAACTACAGACTGGCATAGCTGAAATGCTACGAGATTCGTAGTCTTGTAGTCTTTTTTTGATCAATAACTTATGATTTGTTCGTCAATTTCTCACTGGGTAAATTCTTGGTAGCTATGTCGTAACAGGATCTGCATTTTAAACATCAGTTACCGCTAAATGGTTGATTGATTTTTAGTCGTCTCAAATCGTGTGGTGCTTTAGGCAGCAAACAAACGCAGGTAGCCGTCTATTGTTCGGTCGCCCATAGATAACGAGCGAAAGCTTACTCATACTTATTTATCAGTCTCCCGGTAAGCACTAGCTTTAAATTCCTAATGCTGTGAATATGCGTCCGGATTATTGTTGTGAACTTGTGACGCGTGTTATTTCTTTAATCCTCGTTGATTGTTGACACGAATCTGTTGTTGCAGTACTAATTTTCGTTGAGTGATAAATGATTAATCATACAATTATTTTGAGTAGGCATAACAATATACATGTTTTAAACAGATCGTAAAGTTAATTAATTAATTACTCGTGTAACTGGCCTTTAACGACGCCGGTGTTTCAGTAATATGAGAACTTCTCAGCGATTACAAATGCCGCTCGAGTGTACAATTACACTAAAGAGCTATTTTAAGATGGCAGATGATTACATTTTTGTTTACGTTGATGTCTTTTCAAGGAAGGCTTATTCTGTAGTTGATTAATTATTTAAAAGCACTTTAAGTTCATCAAAGCTTTTCTATAAGTTCGTTGGTTATATAATTTAATGTTTAACTTACTAAATAATATTTTGTTTTTAACTTAGTAGGCTTTTAACAAATAATGTAAGGCAGAGTAAGGACTCTACACCAATCATACAAAGATATTTTTGATCATCTCGTAAAAATGAGTAAAATAGGTACTGCTTATTGCTCATTTCCGTACATAAGTGGCAAACCATTTTATTTTAACATAGTCATTTGTTCTCTGGGACTGTAGAGAAATTGCCCAAAGAGTTTCCAACTGTTTAAATCAAAACTGGTAGACATTCAAACCTCATTACAGTACAGAGGTTATCAGAGCCGATGTTTGCAGTATTACCCGTTTCTAGTACAGGTACAGGCGACAGCTTCTCAAACTATACATTTTTTGTTCCGGCCGGGCAGAAATTGAAATGATGAATTTTAATTTCTGTGACAGGTCTGGGTGTTACTATGTATAATATGTATGTATTTAAAAAAAAGTATATAAGTAGTATATCCGTTAAGCTAGCACCCATAACACAAGCATTAAGTTGCTTACTTTGGGGCTAGCTGGCGATGTGTGAAATTGTCCAAAGATTTATTTATTTATTATTATTATTTATTTGTTCCAAAATCAACCATAATACAATCGAATAAGATCCCACAGTTAAACCTGATGTGCTATGTAGTTAGGTGGCCGGGAACGCGGCTAGTTCATCCGTGCCCGGGGGATGAGCGTTGCTAGGCAGCGCAAAAAGCGGTTACGGGACGTAATGTTTTGCTTAACGGGAACACCGGGACGTTTAGCGAATGCTTCCTTAGCGGAGGTTGTGTTACATAATCAGAATCAGTGAATAGAAAGTGCAAACGCTGTCTGGTGTCTGGCTTTGAGCTAGGCATCGGCTGATCCAACAAAATAAACCAAAAGTTGGCTTTTCTCAAACTCAGAATTTGGTGAATAATATTGCGAACGGTGGCTTTATCGTTTTGAGCTGTTTTTAGGGAAATTCTGTAGTAGGTCTGTGTAAAATTGTTTATTCTGTCACTGAAACACCAGGATAAAAAGTATCTTTTGTTTTTATCTGGGTTTCAAACTAGCTGTTCAGTGGCTTAGACCAAAAAGTTCACAGACGGACAGGAGTTACTATCGCTTCAATAATATTAGTATGTATATGAGTATGGAAAGATGTTTCTCGTTATGTCCAAGGGGCGACAGAGCTAGAAAACTCATTTTCATCATCTATTCACTTGATAAAATGATAAATATCAATGTCGCAGTCACAGAAACATCATAAAATAATGTAGGCTCTAACTGCATGAACTACAGCTTAGTATCCCCGTAGCTTGACATGGTGACATCACTACCATGCATGAGCTAGCGACCCTTGAGTTACTCTTTTCATGTGTGACGTCACGATGCTCCTTTGTTTCCAACCCCTTGCTCATTATCAGATTATTGTGCTAAAATGAATCTAGCCTTTATGATGTAGAGTCAGTTATAAAAGAAGTACATATGTAACGTATTTCTACGTTTATAAATGTAAGTAAAGCCGATCAAAAGATTACGCCATCGTACTCAGAAAAGTATACGATGTGTGTAGGCAATGGTAACATCAATTTATCGATTTATATTCTATAAAGCCGTAAACAATATTTTGTATCTAATTTAGGGACATCGAAAGCTTATAGGTCGGATTTTTTTTTAAATTAATTTTTTTAATTGAATGAATAATAACTATTATAAGCTTATAAGTAGAGCTTTGCTCTAGCTAGGGCTACTAGTAGGACCAAAAGCTTAGTTGCTATAGTATACAGTCTATAGTATTTAATAAAAGAACAACGTAATAAATATTCAACGAACTTCAAAGGTTGCGTAATTTACAGCAAATATTTACACAATAATCAATAAATTTTTCGGTAATTATTTTCTACCACGGAATTATAGCGAACTCTACATTCACCCATCATAGTGTTTTGAATACAGTCGTATTGTATTATGTATTTCTGTGATTTCTTGGAATTGCATTATGTATTTCTGTGATTTTTTGCCGTTTATCTGTACCTCTAGTAGGAAAAACTTTCGAGTTCGTTTCGTTGCGTATTCAAAGTGTTATCGAAAAATTTTGTATGAAAAATTAAACAGCGCCCCCTAGGGCGGCTATAATATTAGGGGGCTTTTTTAAATTTTGTATTAATTTTTAATACAAAATTTTTCGATGACTCTTTGAATACGCAAACGAAACGAACTCGAAAGTTTTTCGTACTAGAGGTACGGATGCTCTACATTGTACATAAGTGAGACATACGCCTATTAATCCAGGTAAACAGTGTACTTAGTTGCCTGCAGGTCACAGTTATTTCTAGGAATGAACTATTTATTTATAATATCCATGTAATTTGTTCGTAAAAGTGATAACAACTTCGGTAGAGTGCGTTATGTTAATTATGAACATATTAATTTGTATTCGTATGTGTTAAGCTCTCTATAATAATGCTACAAGTACTTTAAGCCTAGTATTACGATGATTTATATCATTACTACGCTGATACAAACAATATTAGCGACAACATTCTCTTTATTCTGCATTTTCGCGTAGGTACTTTCGCCGGTCGCGGGGCGGCGCATTGGCAATATATATCTTCGCCCCAACGCGGCGCGTAGCACGTTCTTGTCCGAACGCGTCTAAAAATTCAAGTCTCGGTGCAGGCCGCGAGTCGCGACTCGCGCCGGCTAATGAGCGGGGGGGCGGGGGCGCGGTAATGGCGCGGCGTCGGATGTCGCCGGGGTGCCCGCCGCGTCGCCGATAACGAAATCACTAGAGAACGTGCGCGTGGATACACGAAGCGAGATTTTTTTGGACTCGCCCCGCTGCCTTCGCGAAACTTCGGTCGGCTGATCAATAGATATGTGGCGATGTTGCTCGCTTACTATTGACTTTGAAATGCCAATGTTTCAAGGCACTTGTGATGGTGACGTCTGACGGCCACTAAAATATGTGGCGCCATTTCAAGTGGTTGTTGTTGGAATTTATAAAATGTAACTTTATACATATATGAGATGCCACGCCTATGATTCACTGACTCTACATTTCTGATCTGGAAACGCAATTTAAACATTGACGTGCCGTTGTTCGTGCTTGACTGAAAGTTAACTTTACCCATCATGATGTCTTCAATCTTAGGGTAATTTCACTATGCCTAGCTAAATACCCGAACAGTTGTGAAAATACTCTGAAACTTATAAACATGGGCACACTATCTAACACATACAAACCGTACCTCCTTCTATTGTATTAATAAAGTACTCGACTGCGTTATCGCTACAATAGAGGCACAAAGGCCCGCATTCCCGAACGCGATTACGAGAAACTATTTAAAGAAAGTCGTTTATCCCTTACAAAGTGCGCAGGTACCCGCAAATGCGCGTGTGAGTCAGAACTCAGATCTGAGTTCTGATGCCGCATCCGGCGTTCGCGGTCCGCGTCCTGCCCGAAATACAGGCGCGCCTCGTGTGCCGTTTTGAAACTATGCCTTTGATCACAGAGTTGTTTTTCGTAAAGCTGTATTGCCTATTGATATTGTCGGTTTCAAGTTTAGAGAGTACAAAATTAAGTTATGGCACAAGGATATTACCTAGTTAGTGTATTGACACTATTTGCAATAAGTAAGAGTACTAGTGTCTCTAAGTATATTATTTATTTATGATAAGACTCTTCTGCCGTTGTCCATAGTTTTTTGAAGACCGATTGCAGGCATATACTTATTTTGTATCACAGCGCCGTTTATTACGAAAACATTGCAATTAGCTTAATTAGGTACCTGCGGACAAGCGCATGACAAATAAAAGCATGACTGGCTAGGTAATTACCACACTTTGTTAATGCAAGTTAAACTTTAAACAAGTGTGAAATTATTTTTTAACTTAACTTTTAATATAATTATGGAAGCCTGTTATTAAATATTAAATATATATCCTTGGACATTTTACACTTCGCTTCTAGTCCCAAACTAAGCAAAGCTTGTACTATGGGTACTAGACA